CAGCTGAAAACTAATTCCTAAAACTAAGGAATAATAAGTTTGAATAAGATCATATATTGAACAAGTAAATTTTGTTACAACATACAGCTGATAAGCCTCTAATATGCCCCCTCAAGATGGAGCTTGTGAGAGAACTCCAATCTTGGATTTGAGATCAAGAAAACGAGCACGTGGAAGAGATTTGGTGAGTGCATCAGCAAGTTGGTCCGCAGAAGACACATGAGCAACTCAAAGGACACCAGTTTGGACTTGATCCCGTATGAAGTGGAAATCAATTGCAACATGTTTCATTCGTGAGTGAAACACAGGATTTGAGCAGAGTTGTGTGGTACCTACATTGTCACAGTATATAACCGAATATCAAGGGACTAGGATGCCAAGATCATTAAGGAGATAACTGAGCCAATTGAGTTCTGCTACTGTATTAGCCACCAACATATACTCAGCTTCAGTAGATGATCTAGCAACAATTTTATGTTTCTTAGAGCTCCAGGAGACAGGATTGCAACCAAGGTAGACGACATAGGCACTGGTGGAAGAAAAATCGTCATTGTCTCCTGCCCAGTCAGCATCAGAGAAGGCTTGTAATGGCAATGGGAGATCACAATGCATATGATCTGAAAAGGCATGTAGTTGTAATGGTAAATGACGGTATAGCTGCAGGCCTTCATTGACAGTGCTATAAAGATATCTTAGTAGACGTTTAACAAACATCCAATGGTCAGTTGTTGGAGTGTGCATATACTGAGATAGTTTGTTTACAGGAAAGGCAAGATTAGGTTTTGTAATCAGGAGATATTGGGGGCTGCCAACAATAGTTCGGTACTATGTGGGATCAATTAAATGGGTACCTGACTTTAACATCAGAGGTGGGCTTGTTGGAATCGGAGTGAGCACATGTTTGTCTTCAGTCATTTTAGTTCGAGCCAATATATCCAGGATGTACCTCCGTTGAGAGAGCAAGATGCCATGCTGATTTGGTACTACTTCCACACCCAAGAAATAGGACAACTGACTGAGATTTTTGAGGGAAACTCTCTGAGCAAGAGTTCTAACAAAAGAATCAACCGTGTGAGTGTTGTCACCGGTGATGATTAAATCATCCACATAACTAGGATATAAATGATATGACCAGCCGTAGTGAGAACAGACAGAGAAGTTTCAACATGTGAATTTTTGAATCCAGACTGAAGAAGGAAAGTGCGAAGTTCATGATACCAGCTCGAGGTGCTTATTTGAGACCATAGATTGCCTTTTGAAGTTTGCAGACATAGGATGGATGATCTTGATCAACAAAGATAGGTGGTTGTTGCATGAATACAGTTTTGGAGAGGTGGCCTTGAAGAAATGCATTATTTCTATAAAGTTGGAGTAATGTCCAACCCAGAAAGATGACAAGGGTAAGGACAACCGTCACTGTTGTTGGCTTTACAATTGGACTGAAAGTGTCTAGATAATCAACCCCGGGACATTAATGAAAGCCCTTTGCTACCAAATGTGCCTTGAACCTGTCAACAGAGCCATTAGAGTTGCGTTTAATATGAAAAATCCATTTACATCCCACTATATTCTGATTGGCAACAGGTGGTACAAGGTCCTAAGTGCCATTTCGAACTAAAGCATCACACTCAACAGACATGGCCTTGCGCCATTGAGGATCAGTGAATGCTTTAGTTACTGATGTTGGTTCAATATCATTGGACTTTGCGAGCTGGGTGTTAAGATTCAGTTTCTTGATATGCTAATGAATGTGTTTCTTGGCTCTTGTGGTCATAGAGTGTGTTAGAACGGGAGCAGATCTTGGTGGTTGATGTAGTGGTGATGGTGGGTTGTTTATGGACTGGGTTGGAGTAGGCGAAGTGGGCCGGTAGGTAGCCTCTATTGGGGTGTCTTGAGGTGGACTAAAGAATTGAACAGGCATGGCAACTGATGTTGAAGCTTCACACGAGAGATGTTGAGGGAGAATAACTTCAGATGGTGATGTGAGTGACGGCTGGTGATTGGGTGACACAACTCGAATAGGAAGAGGTATCCAGGTGTTAATGGGGTTGGATGAATTACAGGAAGGCTTACTAGATAGTAAGGCATAGGGAAATTGAGACTCAAATGAATTTGATATGCCTAGAGATATAGATTTTTGAATTTGATGGATCTAGAAGTAGTAGGCAATTTGAGTGAGAGGGTATCCAAGAAAAACACAAGGTTTGGACTAGGACTCAAGCTTGTGGGATGTGTAAGGCCTCAACCAAGGATAGCATAAGCAGTTAAAACACAAGGCTTGTGGGATGAATTTGATGGATCTAGACAGTAGTAGGCAATTTGAGTGAGAGGGTAGCCAAGAAAAACACAAGGTTTGGACCGGGACTCAAGCTTGTGGGATGTGTAAGGCCTCAGCCAAGGATAGCATAAGCAGTCAAAATTTTTTAATTTGGAGTAATTGTGCGTAGTTTGAAATATTTTTTGGAATGGGGAGAAGAGATTTAAGTTGGGTGTAGGCATTCGGTTTATGAGATATACGGATGTGGCAAAGGCATAAAGCCAATAGGAAAAGGGTAAGGAAGCATATGAGAGTAAAGCAAGGAACGATATGGAGATGTCGTCGTTCAGAGAATCCATTGTGTTCAAGTGTATGTGGTGGAGTGGTTAGATGTGAGATACCAGATGTAGAGAGGAAATTAGCTAGGGCAATGTACTCACCACCATTGTCAGAGAACAAAGTTTTAGTAGATGAATGTGATTTTCTGTGATAGCTTTGAACCTGATAAAAATTATCTTGACTTCAGATTTGTGTTTAAGTGGATAAAATCAGATGTACTTAGTGAAATGATCAATGAAGATTACTAGTATTTGAAGCCATTGATTGATAGAATTGGAGCGGTCCAAACATCCAAAAATATGATTTGAAGGGGTTGAGTAGAGACAATGGAAGAGTTGGAAAAAGAAAATTTGTGACTTGCATAAACAAGCATTACAAGAAAAATCTGAAGACGGTGAAGAAGATAATCCTAAATGATTGCTAGATACAATGTGTTTAAGAATAGGAAAAGCAAGGTGGCCTAGTTTGTGATGCCAGTCGAAGGAGGTGGTCTTTATTGTGGAAAAAGCAATCAATGGAGTGGATGTTAGCCACTCATAAACACCATCTTTAGTGTGTTTTCTCAGCAGCATTGCCCTTGTGCGAAGTCCCTTAACAAGAAAAGAATTTGGTAAGAATTCAATAGAAACTTTGTTAGAGCTGCAAAATTGAGATATAGAAATTAGATTCTTTTGCATTGATGGTACACAAGATCATTGTCTAATTGAAAAGTATTATGAGGAGTGTGAAGATGAGTGGAACCAGTGTGAGCGATGGAAAGATTGGTGCCATCTCCTATCCTGATATCATCATTGCCCATGTAAGGTGTATGCAGCGAGAGGTTACTGAGGTCATGGTGAGATACACCGCTATCCAGAAGCAATGATGGATTGGTGGCAAGATGGGCTAGTGGCTGCCATGGAGGATTGGTTGGAGATATGGTGGATGTGAAAGATGTTAAACAATCCAAAGAGANTTGGTTGGAGATATGGTGGATGTGAGAGACTGTTGGACTGGTACTAGGCGAAAAGAAGGGCACTGCTTGGTAGTTTGGCCTTGGATTCAGCAGATTTGACAATGACCAAGATACGGTCTTAGAGGAGGTCGAGGGCCATGTGAGGGGGAGAACCCGCATTTGTAGCAGTAGGGGGACGAGGGGCAGAGGGATATTGATTACGCCAGTTGGTGTTGGGGGTGTGTTGAGGATTGAAGGAGCGCCAAGGTTTGTTGGATTTGTT